ACGTACGGTTCTAAATAAAACAATAAACTAAAAGTTTAGATTACACATGACCAAGTCAATCTGTATTTTACACTTGTACCTAGTGACTTAGACAAAAGTTATCTTCGTTTTTTTTTAAACTTCTGAAGCATTCATATTTACCACTATCCCCATTTCAAAGGGTGCCAAGCATACAAAGATCTGCAACTCGTATGCATACTTACCACTATCCCCTTTTTGATGGTGCCAACCATAACGAGATATGCAACTTGGTACTGAGTATGTATACTACCACTACTGAGTATACGTATTTACCACTATCCCCTTTTCAACAGTGCCAAGCACCGAAGATATTCAGCTCAGTGATGAGTATGCATATTTGCCACTATCCCCTATTTGATGGTATCAAGCTAACAATAGTCTTGTGCAAAACATGATATGAAAAATAGGACTAAGTAAGTAACTTAATGGAACTATATTGATAAATAGTTTTAGCCAATGGAATCAGGCATTAAAATACATGGAAACACTGAAAATTTGAACAACGACAAACATATATGTACAACAGAACAACCAACCTTAGACTTCTAAATTCAACCATGAAAATCCAAATTTTTTCTATTTTCAGTATCCGAGAAATACCCAGGAGCACGGTTCAAAACTCGGTGGATAATGGCCTGCCGCCTGCCCTTCTACCCTTCTCCACCCGATGAAAAGTTAAAATGTTAATGCAGCAATGGAAATAAAGACATACAATTAATCAAATACGAAATTGGCATAGATAATAAAGCTTGTACCTTGACAGAGATAGTACCAGCAAGAGCATCGAGATCTTCAAGCAACTTCCCAATTCTGACCTCATTCCAAGGATCCCTGTACTGTTCCCTCAGTATATAATCAGTGGAGAAATTATAAAGAATTGAAGTCCTGCTCTCTGCTGGGGTTTTCTTAAGCAATTCACTTTGTGGGGGAGCATCAAGTGGTGGATCAAGAAGTCTTTCGAAAATCTTAGACCTTGTTTCCCAAAGAGCATTAGTCACTGGAGAATGATACATTCCTGGCCATAAACTAAGTGGTTTTCTGCTTGAAGAAGAATTGGAGGAATCATTTTGGTCAGGAGAACCCTCAAATGGTGAAGCAAAAGTGGACACTACACGAATGGTATTTGGAGAAGAAGAGCTAAATTCCATTGGAAGGCAGTAAATCTTTGTTGAAAAATAAACAGTTTTGACTGGAAGGTGAGATTGAATTTGGTAAGAAGCAGCTGAAGTTTGGAACTTTGGGAATTCCAAAAAGCAAGTCACGAAGAAACTGTTGGAAAAGGACAATTTTTGGACCCCACTTTCTCTTTCCTTTTAATAAGGAAGTTAGGAGTTAGGACAAATTCTTTCTTAAAAAGCTCTGTAATTAGAGCTAAAACGGCAGTTCGGTCCCTAAGTTTATGTCGTTAACTTCACTCTGGTCCCTCAACTTTTACGAATAAAACATTTCCACTGACCAGAGTACTCGACGTAAAAGGATTAATTCGCAGCCATAGCAGAGATCCAGAAAACTTAACTGATGGGATGTCTATTGTTCTCGCGTATTCAAGAGCCAGAATACACTAGGATTTTCTGATAGCTAAGGAAAGGGGAGTTGGCTTCTATTTATAAAGAGTTTCTACCCATCAAAGACCATTTGTTATTGGGCATCACTTATCCACACACATAGTATTAATGTTAGGCCTTTTATTTATCCATCACTTGGACCACATCACTATCTTTCAGGCTATAAACAATTAACGCAAGTTCAAAGTCCAACATTCTCCCACTTGGATGCCAACGTTAATTGAGGACAAGAAAACAATGTTAAACTTTTGAGTTTTGAGAAAAATATTTTCTAAAAAAGATTTTAGACTATATAGTGGCCACACTACTTATATAGCTAAGGATAGAATGACCCATAGCAATCCATCCAGTCTTAATGGAGAACACTAACAATGACCCATATAACAATCTATCCTTCACCAATCGTTCAGTTCTTTCTTTAGAAATATGACCAAGATGCCTATGCTATAATAGGTAAAACATTTTACTCATATCAGACCTTTTGTGGGCAATATTTTCAACATGCATTGCAGGAAAAAAAAATTCATTCAACACGTTCAAGCGATATAGACCATCACTTAAAAGGCATCATCAACAACATGTGAATCGTAGAAAATTTTAATAATGCTATTATTTTGTTGGAATGAATAACCAGCTTTGTCCAACAGTGAAACTGAAACTAATTTTTGTCTCATAAACGGTACAAACACAATATTTTATAAACGAATGTGATCACGCCCAACTCTAGTCCTAAAAAGGATAAGCGGTTGCTGCAAATATAATCCGGTCTAAAAGTCCGGAGTCGAATCCCACAGAGAACTAAGGCTAGCTATATCTGTTTAATATCACTAAGAAGACAAGTTTGAACAATTTTCTAAATTATAAAGATTGAGATTTATATTTCTAACTAATAATACTACAAAGCAATAAAATTATCAACTAACGAAACAAAGGGTTGGAGACTAAATTAAGGAGGTCTAGAGTTATGATTTCCCCAATTGTCGGAATCCTTCTAGCTATGTTCCCTACAATTTCGCCAATGTATTCTCTACCGATTGTGAGTACTTTGGTTGTCGTAATTCTCACTCGAGCAACTACCACAATTTACTAGATGTATTCTCTCGAACTACACTAGCTGACATTAATTCACTGCTCACTACGATCGCACCAAGGTTTCGTTATCTCTAATCTCGCCTTTAAACCCTCCGTATTGATCTCTCACATACTTTAGGAGTGATGTTGTTCAACAACTACCTAAATATGTATCCTTTCTCAAGCAACACATAATAAATAGGCATAGTCAATCGATGGCCATTCAATCAACAACAATAAACACGTAGTTGAACAAGTAGAGAAATCCAACGACTCAATTATATAAAAACACAACAAGAATTTATCCTACAAAAGGTTCCATCAAAACCCTAGATAACAAATTAGCTATTCATAATAGTATGTAAAACTACAATACTAAAAGTCATAACCAAC